CCACCCTCCCCCTGCACACAGCGACAGCATGGGGCCGAAGGGGCTGCCAGCTGGGCGGGGGGCTTTGAACAATAAAGGAAAACCCAACCAGACCTCCACCTTCACAGCCAATATCAAAGCCAACAAAAGGCCTGTTTTCCAGTGTCTTGCTTCCCTCCCTGGTACAGCTCTTCCCCTTCCATCTTCTCCCCTCTTTCACGAGTGCACCTCTCCCAGTCTCCCTTCCCGCTGGAAGATGACGACACTCTAATTGCAAGGGCCCCCTCACCGCGAGGCGGCTCGACACAGGACTTCGGGACGTGATTGTCTCCTGCCTTTGTGCAGGGTTAAGTGTGCGAGGAGGCAGGGCTTGCATAAACACATTGGGGCAGAAGCTAGAAAGGTCAAAACCAGCCCCCATCTCCATCGACAGGCATGTGTGCGCCTGCACCCGCTCTCAGCCAGCCCTGCGGTTACAATTAACCCTCAAAGAGCCCAAATCCACCGACGGGCTGGTGCTGGCCACGCAGGATTGCCTTGAATAGGTCTTGTCTTAAAGCCCTCACTCCATCTTTTGAAAGAAATCCTCCCCTCGCTGAATAAGCCAGAAAGAGGTAAAAAGGGAGGGCAGCTGGTAGCCAAAGGTTGGGGAGCATCACGATTTAACTTACAGCTCCCCAGGCACTCTTGGTAATTCAGCGCTTGGTCCCTCCAAAGGGGGCTCTTGCCCTCCCTCCCCCAGAGCCGCTCCTCGGTTCAGCGATGGATGGATGCCTCCATTTCAGATCACGCATCCGTGAGCAAAGAAAGGCTGATGGTGAAGGCAAAGCTCAGGCAGTGGGGAGCTCCAGATCCAAACCCTGCTTGCTCACAGACAAGCCCCTAGGTCCGTTTTTGCCCTGCCCTCAGCTTGGCCAGAGGGGACCCCAACACTCCCCAAAGCCACCCCAGCAGCTACAGCTAGCACCTGAATTTGGATACTCCAGCAATATGATGTGAGAGTTTTAAGCACCGCGCTCTGAGGTTTGTCACAGCTGTCCCCTGCAACACTAAGTTGCCTGCAGAAAGGTGGTACCAGGTTTTAGAAGCCGCACCACAAAGCACGGGTGTCGGTAGGTGCCACAGCCAGAATCCAGACTGAACAGTTTGCTACCAGCAGAGGGGTATTTTTAAGAGGGCTCCCTCCACACGGAGTTCAATCCCTCCCTGCCGAGCACAGCCGGGGAAGCACCCGATGCCAGGAGGGAGAAGAGCCACCCAGGCTTGGGAGCAAAGCAGTGTGCCAGCCCCTGGGCTGGCAGCTTGGCCACCCTGGGAGTCAGCTGCTTGCCCAGCCAGCACCCTACGGTGCACATCACAGCCTCGCTGGTGACAGCACCTCCAAAGGTGTCTCGCTAGCAGCTACAAGCGATCCTCACAGCTGAGTAACGATGCTTTGTTCTTGCAGACCACCTCCAGCCTCGGCCACCTTACAGAGCACTCCCCTGCAGCATGCACCCACTGCCACCCTTCCCAACCCCTCCAGTATTATTCCATGTCTGGAAGAGACTCCCAATCCAAATCTTGTTGCCAGTTCCGAGCCTGCCCCCCCAGTGCAGAACGGGCTCCCCGAGGGGGACCATGCAGAGCCTGGCCACAGGTATTGCACCAAAGGTTTAATGACTTTCACACCCTACCTGTGACAGTCACCAGCATGGAGGCCACGAGTGGACGGTTGTTGTCCAGCTTACGGCTCAGCCTCAGCTCCCCGCTCGATTGATTTACAATCAACAAGTGCAGTTCATTTCCCCGCTCAAAGGTGTAGAAGAGGCGGTCGGACACATCTGGGTCATAAGCTGGGACCTTCCCTATGACGCCCGAGGGGAAGGTGTTGGACTTATTGGATACATAGTTATTGAACAGGATCTGGAAGTTCTTGAGAACAGGGCTGTTGTCATTCTGGTCAATGAGTTTGATATGGACCGTGGCTCTGCTGACCAGAGGGGCAGAGGTGGCCTGCACTACAATCACATATTCGGGTTTTGTCTCATAATCCAGGTCTATCAAGGCTGTGAGCTCCCCAGAAAAGATGTCCATCTGGAATATCTCGGGGATGTTGCCTTCCACAATTTGGTACATGATCTGGGCATTTGGTCCCTCATCTGGATCAACAGCCGTGATTTGGGCCACGACAGAGCCTACGATGCTGTTCTCCTTTACCAAGACCTCAAACTCTTCAGCTGGAAAGACAGGGGCATTGTCATTCACATCCTGAATGGTAACCTGGATATGGACAGGAGTTCGCTGAGGAGGGATGCCCCTGTCCACGGCGTATGCAGTCAGCTCATAGACAGGAACGTTCTCACGGTCCAGCCTGCGGACAGTGCGAATGATCCCTGAGGTGGGCTCTATAGTGAAGTCTCCATCCCCATCCTCCCCGTTCTGGAAGGTATACTGCACTCGCCCATTGGTGTGGGCATCCCGGTCGGTGGCAGAGATCTGGAGCACACTGGTGAAGGGAGGTGCATCCTCAGAGATCATGCCCTGGTAATGAGGGCTGACGAACTGGGGAGCGTTGTCATTAACATCATTCACCATGATTTCAACGTAGGTGGTGTCTGCTTTCTGGGGGATCCCATTGTCCTTGGCAGTGATAGCCAACGTGTACGTAACCTGGTCCTCATAGTCCAGTTCTGCCTGTAGTGTGATGGCCCCAGAGTCTGGATCAATGCGAAACTGAGGGACGTTGTCTTCTAGGTAGTATGTGATGCGGGCATTTTCCCCCACATCATCGTCCGTGGCGCTGATCACCACCACGGTGCTGCCCACGGGCCGGTCCTCGTTGACGCTTACAGAGTAGTGGGCACTCTGGAACACAGGCCGGTGTGTGTTGGCATCGGTGATGTTGATGTGAACGTGGCAGTTGTCACGCAGGGTGCGATCAGAGGCCGTCACGGTGAGCACGTAGCGCCTCTCCTGCTTGTAGTCCAGTGGCAGAGACAGAGTGATGAGCCCCATCCCACCTTGCGTGCTGATGGAGAAGCGGTTCCGCGTGTTGCCTCCCGTGATCTGGTAGGTGATGGCACTGTTCACATCCCGGTCAATTGCCGTGACACTGAGGACGCTGGTCCCCACAGCTGCATCCTCATTCAGGCGGATGAAGTACTCCTTCTGGGTGAACTCAGGGCGGTTGTCGTTGACATCCATGACAGTAATGGTGACGCTGGCAGAGGCAGATAAAGACGGAGAGCCATGGTCCCGAGCCTCTACCCCAAAAAAATAGTGCTCAACCGACTCCCGGTCCAAGGGCCCACTGACAGTGATCCACCCCGTGGCACTGTTCACCACGAACGGTGTGTCAGCCGAGACCCCCGTCAGTTTGTACTCCAGGCGCGAGTTCTCGCCGTAATCCGCGTCCACGGCCTGGATGTGGATGACAGAGTGGCCAAGGGGAGCGTTCTCAAGGACGGAGATTTGGAAAGGGGTGCTGACAAAAATGGGCGCATGGTCATTGATGTCCACCACCTGGATGCTCGCCATGCCGGTGTTGTTAGAGAGGGGAGGGCGCCCTGCATCCTGAGCCCGGATCCTCAGGGCGTACTCCCGCTCCACCTCAAAATCCAGTGGGGCCACCACCTGTATCTCCCCAGTGACGCTGTCAATGGAGAACTGGCCCCGGCTGTTCCCGCTGATGATGTTGTAGTGGACCAGCGCATTGTTGTCCTTGTCCAGGTCTGTGGCAGTGACGCGCAGGATCTCAGTGTGAGGCCGTATGTCCTCCCTCACCTGGACAATGTAGCGCTTCTCACTGAACTGAGGGGTGTTGTCGTTCTCGTCAAGGACGGTGATGTAGACCTTGACCGTGGCGGAGCGCGGCCCTGGCTCCCTCCCCTGGTCATTGGCCTCCACCACCAAGGAGTACCTCTCCATCTTCTCCCTATCCACCGGCCCGCTGGTGGTGATGAGGCCGGAGCGTGGATCGATCTCGAAGACGGCATGGGCAGCCCGCTCGTTGACGAAGCGGTAGCGGATGTTGGCGTTGGGCGGGGAGTCAACGTCGGTGGCGCGCAGCTGCAGGATGGGGTATCCCTCCTCCACGTTCTCCCGGATGGTCTCCCTGTACTCGCCCTGCTCGAAGACGGGGTCGTGGTCGTTGCGGTCAGCCACG